CGCCCAAAACAATAGTTCTAAGTTGTATGAAGCTGAAAAGGAGCTTATACGCCAAATTGAGGAGCTAAAAGTGGAGAGTCAATCATTCTATCATATTTTTGTTGATGATGCCCATATTGAAAAAAATACACTAGAGTTATGTGAGGAAGTAGATAATGTTACACTTGAAGACTCTAGTATATATGAGGATGTAAGTAGCGACGAAATTTTATACGCAATTTTATAAGCTGAAAGGAGCTTATACGCCAAATTGAGGAGCTAAAAGTGGAGAGTCAATCATCCTATCATATTTTTGTTGATGATGCCCATATTGAAAAAAATACACTAGAGTTATGTGAGCAAGTAGATAATGTTACACTTGAAGACTCTAGTATATATGAGGATGTAAATAGCGACGCAATTTTAGAGTTTTCATGTGATTCTTTGATTTAACAAAGAACCAACCGACCAGGATCAAGATCTTGAAACGAAAACATGGTTTGTGGGTCGATTTCAAGAAACAACGTATCTCAAGTTTTAGGACTCAAAATCTGATGATTCAAAAACAAGGTGAAAGATGACGATCTGAACTATAAGAAAGACTATTTACTCGTTCAAAACAAGTAAATATTGATGTTGCACCAGTTCAATGAAAGTTATAATTTTATGATATCAAAATAACGAATTTAGATCAAGAAACGTGTTCTTGAAAGATAAAAAAACAAGTTCCTAAAGTCACCACTTGAAATCAATTAACGTGATAAAGAAATACCACACGCAATTGAAAACAAGATAAAGACTATCACAACCTTGCTTGGAACAAAAAATAAGGATAAAGAAGACAAAATAGAAAAAAATACTCTATTGTAAAATTAGGGCAAGCCTAAAAACGTGAATTGCAGTCTACAAGGCAAGAGAATCTTTTATATAGGCCTATAATCTCTTCTTTGATGACTAAAATTCCTATTCTAATAAGGAAATAAAATAACTAAAGACAAGGAAAGTATAATCCATATTCTACAAGGAACAAAAACTAGAATCCTATTAAAAGAAAATCATCATTCTAAAAGGAATAAATAAATCCTATTTTAAGAAGGAAAGGGTCTTGGCTTTTTGAAATCAATCTTGGAATTTTTGAACTTGAAGACATGTCCACACGCCTATTCGTGGACATATAAGAACTTGCTTTTGGCGAGCTAAATAACAAAAGGATAATATAGCTTCTTGATTTGCATCATTCTCCCCTAGTTGAAAAGGACTCATCCTCTAAGGCTCTATAATGGTGCAAGGTCCGAAACATTAAATATTGGTGATACCCCATAATCGTCAGGTAGATCCAATCTGTAAGCATTATCACCTAACTTTTGAACAACTCGAAATGGACCACCAGCTCTTGGTTACAACTTTGGATACTTTTGGTTAGGAAATCTTTCTTTCCTCAAGAATACCCAGACTAAGTCTCCCAACGTTAAAGAATTATTGTTTTCTCTTCTTATTAACTTGTTTTTTATATGCCTTTGTTTGTCCCTCAATCTCTTGTACTACTTTCTCGTGCAACTTTTTCAATTGCTTAACCCTCTCATCAGCATCTCTACTAAAATAATGAGTTTTAAGAAGAGGAGACAAGTCTAATTGACCAAGAGGATTCTTACCATAAACCACTTCAAAAGGACTTTTTCCAGTTGTTCGATTCATAGACTTGTTGAAAGCAAACTCACCATATGGTAGCAATGATTCCCATTCTCTTATGTTCTTCTTGATCAAACTTCTTAGCAATGCACCTAAACTTCGATTGACTACCTTTGTTTGCCCATCTGTTTGAGGGTGATAAGATGAGCTATACTTCAACTCCGTACCAAGCTTAGCCCATAAAGTACGCCAAAAATGACTGAGAAACTTAGTGTCGCGATCAGAAACAATGCTTCTTGGAATGCCGTGTAACTTGACAATATTGTTAAAGAACAAATCAGCCACATGAGTTGCATTACTCATCTTGTTACATGGGATAAAGGGTGCCATCTTAGAGAATCTATCAACAACAACGAAGATAGCATCCTTACCTCCTTGAGTCCTTGGCAATATAAGCACAAAGTCCATGCTAATATGTTCCCACGGTGTTGTAGGAATTGGCGAAGGCTCATATAATCCCTTATTGCTCCCATGCATTTTTGCTTTTCTACATGTTTCACAATTCTTAATCAGCCTCAACATATCTTTGTTCAATTTAGGCTAGTAGAAGTTTCCTTGAATCATCTTCATTGTTTTAGAATGGCCAAAATGACCAGTCAATCCACCCTCATGTGACTCCCTCACAATGGACTCCCTTAAAGAGCTTTGTGGTATGCAAATCTAATTTCCATAGTAAAGAAACCCATCTCTAATTACAGACATTCTTTGTGGACCCTCCAAGCATCTCTTCCAAATATCTCCAAAGTCCGGATCAGCCTCATAAAGCTCCTTGATATGGTCAAATCCAAATACATTAGTTTGTATCATAGAAAGTAAACATGGTCTTCTACTAAGAGCATCAACCACTTGATTGAGGTTTCCAGCCTTGTGCTTGATTACGAACTAAAATTTTGAAGGAATTTTACCCATTTTGCATGCCTTACGTTGAGCTTTTGTCGGTGACTAAGATACTTTAGTGCCTCTTGATCAGAATATAGCACAAAATTTTTTGGTAATAAAAAATGACTCCAATGTTGCAACACGCGAACAATAGTATAGAATTCATTGGTGGAGTACTTCAATTTAGATCCATTTAGCTTCTAGCTAAAATAAGCCACGGGTTTACCTTCGTAGCTAAGAACTCCTCCAACATCAACACCTGAAGCATCACATTCTACTTTAAATAAAACATCAAAGTTAGGCAATTGATGATAGGAGTTTGTGTCATCTTCTTCTTCTTTATCAATTCAAAACTCTTTTGAGCTTCTTTATTCCACTTGAACATGCCTCCTTTCAAACACCAGCACCAGTTACTATGTAACCAAGAAAGCAAACATTGTTAGTATAAAAGATGCACTTCTTGAGTTGTGCATATAGCTTCTCTCTCCTTAAGGTTTCAAAAACCTTCTCCAAATGCTTTCCATGTTCGACTTCCTCTTTGCTACAAATTAGGATATCACCAAAGTAGACAAAAACTGTCACGATCCAAAATCCATTAAAGGTCGTGATGCACCGCACACCGCTGTCAGGCAAGCCAACAATAATTAATTAATTTGGTTCTCATTTTAGTATTTTTTGAAATCATAATTTCTTTCAATTATTAAATAGTAAAAGATGGAATTTACAAAGTAAATAATAATATTTTAACAATTCCAATACTGAACAACCCATAATCACAAAATTCGGTGTCACAAGTGCATGAGCATCAACTAGGAAGATAAAATAAAATACAGCATCTGTCCGGAATACAAATTAGACATGAAAATACATAAGTAGCTCTGAAGGAGACTCTGCTGGTTGCGGATCGAAATGTGGAAATGCAGCTCACCTAATCCCCGCAAATAACCAAGCCTCTGTTCTCACAGGGCCACTAGACACATATGTACCTGCACAAAAGTGTGCAGCAAGTGTAGTATGAGTACGTAAATCAATGTGTACCCAGTAAGTATCCAGTCTAACCTCGAAGAAGTAGTGACTAGGGGTCGACTCTGACACTTACTATGGGCTGTAAATAAAAATATCGATGATATGATTAAGCATGGATTGTATAGAGCGGCGGTAAACTCAATATCATGAAGTAAGTAAACAATTCTTTGTTAATGAGAAATTTCCAAATTCATTTTTGTTTTTATCATTAATCGTTTTATATCCCGGGCCAATGAAGTAATGTCAATTATTATGAATTCTAGAGCAACAAAATCATTCATGCGCAAATCATGCCGAGGTCATATCGCCCGATCCAACATAAATATAAATTGTGCACTGCGGAGGGTCGAACGACACGAATCATAGACGCATCTATCTGCTACCGAGGCGTTCGGCCCGCTCCACAACAAGAGAAAACACATATAAACAACCAATTCAAGATTTATTAAGAGTTAATGTTCAATGAAATATAAATTCTCATTAACGGTCAAATGACCCGTCCAAAACTCAAGCACGTGAAGTTTAACCTTTTACAATTTCCTTATCAAGTTCCAATATGGTTTTAATAATTAAATTAACAAGTAGGAAGCAAACATCGTAAATATAACATAATATGGGTCTTAGACTACCCGGACATAAGCATAATAGTAGCTACGCACGGACTTTCGTCACCTCGTGCATACGTAGCCCCCACAATTAGAAGAACATATTAATTCAATTCACCTATGGGGTTAATTCCCTCTTACAAGGTTAGAAAGGAGACTTACCTCGCTTCAAAGTTCTATAGCCGGCTCCCTAGCCTTTCCAACAACTCAAACCGATGCCCAATGCTCCAAAACTAGTGAATAAATGTGTAAATTCATAAATATATACTCTAATACTCCTTATAATCCAATTTATAACAATTTCCAACTCCATTCGAAAAGTCGATAAAAATCACTCTCGGGCCAACGTGCCCGGATACCAACAAAAATTGAAGATAGAACTTTACCCATAATACCACGAACTCAAATATATAATTTATTCCAAATTCCATGTCCAATTTTGTGGTCAAAATCCAAAAATGCCAATTTTTAGGTTTTTCTTTAAAATCCCAAATTTCTACAAATTTTCATGTCTAAATCCTTATATAATACAAGTATTTAACTTGCAATAGGTGGGAATCACTTACCTTGACATAGATGATGAAGAGAGAGCTCCAAAATAGCTCCAAGATCGGCTCCCATGAAGGAAATGAAGTGAAAATGGCCAAAATCCTGTTTTAAAACAACTCACCGCCCAGTCCGACCCTTCATCGCGAATGCGGCATAGCCCTTGCGTTTGCGAAGCTCTACAACCTCACGCCCAAAAAATCTCTCTTCGCGTTCGCGGCCCTTTGATCGTGTTTGCGAAGACCAGCTGACCCGCCCCTTCGCATTCGCGTTCCACTATATGCGTTCGCGTAGGCCAAATGGCCTTAGGCCCAGCTCCCTCCTTTCTTCTTCGCATTCACGTCGCCTTAGCCACCTTCGCGAAGGCTTGTCCAACTCTTGCCTCGCATTCGCGTCCGCAAAGGCCAAACCCAGCAGCCCCACAAATTCCTCTTCACGAACGCTGGACTTCCTTCGCGTTCGCGTAGAAGGAAACCAGACACCAGCAACAGCAGTCCAAAATAGCTCTAATTTGGTCCGAAACACACCCGAGCCCCCCGGAACCCCGTCCAATCACACATACCAGTCCCACAACATAACACAGACCTGCTCGAGGCCTCAAATCACATCAAACAACATCGAAATCATGAATCACACCCCAATTCAAGCTTAATGAACTTTAGAACTTCAAACTTCTACATTCGATGCCGAAACCTATCAAATCACGTTCGATTGACCTCAAATTTTGCACACAAGTCACATTTGACATTATGGACCTACTCCAACTTCTGGAATCAGAATCCGACCCCAATCTCAAAAAGTTCACTTCCGATCAAACTTCTCAAAAACCTTCAAATTTCTAACTTTCGCCAAATGACCCCAAAATGACCTATGGACCTCCGAATCCACTTCTGGATGCCGTCCCAATACAAGAATTACCACACGGAGATATTCCCAGACTAGAAATCCCAAACGGACATCGATAACATTGAAATGCACTTTAACCCAAATTTATGAAATTCTTTCAAAATGCCAACTTTCACAATAGGCGCCGAAACGCTCTGGGGTCATCCAAAACCTGATTCGAACATACGCCCATGTCCAAAATCATCATACGAACCTGTTGGAACCTTTAAATCCAGATTTTGAGGTCGTTTACTCAAAAATTCAACCTTAGTCAATTTTTCAAACTTAAAGCTTCCGAAATGAGAATTTTCTTTCCAAATCAACTCTGAACTTCCGAAATTCCAATTCCGACCACGCTTACAAGTCATAATACCTGAAGTGAAGCTACTCATGGACTCAAACAGCCGAACGACGTGCTAGAGCTCAAAACGATCGGCGGGTCGTTACAACAACAACAAACTTCCCAATGAATGGTGTAAACATATGAGTCATAAGCCTTATGAACATGCTAGGAGAATTAGACAAACCAAAAGGCATTACCAACCATTTATACAAGCCTTGGCTAGTCTTGAAGGTTGTCTCCATTCATAACCTTCTCTCATACGAATCAGGTGGTGCGCACTCTTCAAATCAATCTTTGAAAAGATCTTAGAACCATGTAATTGGTCAAATAAATTATCTAACCTTGGGATTGGGAAGCGATATTTGATAGTGATCTTGTTGATTGCTCGACTGTCAACAAACATCCTCCTAGTGCCATTTTTCTTAGGAACAAGCGAAGCAGGTACGTCATAGGGACTAAGGCTCTCTCTTATTAAACCCTTCTCTAATAACACTTCGACTTGCCTTTGGAGTTCAGCTTGTTGTATAGGATTCATCCTATAAGCTGCTTTGTTTGGTAATGATGCTCCGGATATAAGGTCAATTTGATGTTGAATATCGCGCATGGGTGGAGGTTCTAACGGTACATCTTTAGAGATCACATCATCAAAATTGGCAAGTAACTTCTTGTCTCGTGTATCTAACTCATGCTCTTCATCTCGCGGGTCTTCCATGGCTACTACTATGTGAAATGGCTCTCCTTTATTGATGTGGCCAATAATCTGTGATCTGGTCATTAGCGTATCAGACACTGGTGTCAAAACAGTCTTACGTCCATCAATTATGAATGAATAGGTGTTCCGGTATCCATCATGAAAAGCACGCTTATCATATTGCCGTAGTCTTCCAAGTAATAAATGGAAAGCATCCATTTTTACCACATCACATCAAATTTGGTCTTTATAAATCTTACCAATAGCAAAAGAGACCAAGCATCTTTTAGTGACTTTCATACCTCGACCAGATTGCAGCCATCTGACTTTGTAAGGTTTGGAATATACCTCATTTTGCAAACTTAACTTAGTCACCATCTCATTCGAAATAGCATTAGTGCAACTTCCACCATCGATAATCAGTACCTTGTTATGTTATGTACACCTCATGTGGAAAAGGGCCTCTCGTTGTGATGATTCTTCATCTTCATGTTCAACATGTAAGATCCTCTGAATAACAAGCATATCACCTTCATCAGGTTCTACATAAGTATCTTTATCTTCCTCATTAACTTCCTCAATTGGTTGGTTGCCTTCATAATTGGAATCATCTTCTTCGTCAACCAACATAACAGCCTTTCGGTTGGGACAATCAACTTGCACATGCATATAACCTTGGCACTTAAAATATATTCTCCTAGTGTAACGACCCGGCCGGTCATTTTAATAATATTAGTCGTGATTCCCTATTTATTGTCCCTTCTATTTCATTTTATGGTTACTTGACTTGGTGGGGTGCTTGGCGTCGGGTTCGGGAGAGTTTTAGAGTGGAATGGGACACGTAGTCCCTAAGTGTGAAGTTTGAGTTGTAAGAGTTGACCTTAGTTTGACTTGTGTGAAGACGACTCCGGAATGGAGTTTTATTGGTTCCAATAACTCCGTTTGGTAATTTTTGGTCTTAGGAGCATGTCTGAGGTTGATTTGGAGGTCCATAGGTCATTTCGGCGTTAATCGGCGAAAGTTGAATAATTGGAAGATTTTTGGAAAGTATGACCGGGTGTGGACATTTTGATATCGGGGTCGGATTCTGATTTCGGAAGTTGGAGTAGGTACGTAATGTCAAATGTGACTTGTGTGCAAAATTTAGGGTCAATTGGACAAGTTTTGATAGGTTTCGACATCATTTGTAGAAGTTGAAATTTCCTTAGTTTCAATAGGCTTGAATTGGGATGTGATTCGTGTTTTTGATGGTGTTGGATGTGACTTCAAGGCTCGACTAAGTTCGTATCGTGTTTTAGGACCTTTTGGTATGTTTGGTTGAGGTCCCAAGGGCCTCGGGTTGATTTCGGGTGGTTAACAGATTATTGGAGTTGTGTTAAATTGCTGAAGCATTGTTGTGCCTGATGTAATCACACCTGTGCACTTTGGGCCGCAGGTGCGGCACCGCAGAAGCGATCATTGAGCCTATCACGCCCCGACCTCAGGTAGCGCGATAGACATTCAACCAAGATAACCCGGTCAAGCAAGCCTGTAAGATACTCTCTACCCCAACTCACTCATTAATGAAGAGAAGACATGTTTTCATTAATTAGACAATAAGGAGATCATGTATACAATACCAATTCATTACCATTAGTTACTTCATTTTAAAGTCTCAAAATACACACATTTTCTTAGTCTAAAGTGGAACAAGTGATTCAAACACAACATAACTTGTTTGACTTTCCCAGCACCAATATATAACCCACATTATGTCTACAGAGCCTCTAATAGTTACAAACGAGTACTATGATAGTGCCGGCAACAAAGCCCCCACTATACCTCAAACACAATACACAAGGAACAAAAGATACATGACCTTGAGATGGAGTGGGGCTCACCAAGTGCGCTGGGAAGAGGGTGCACCGCTATCACTAATCAATGCCACCGGCTGTGGAACCACCTGCATCCATTAAAGATGCAGCGCCCCGGGCAAAAGGGACGTTAGTACATATGAAATAATACTAGTATGTATGACTAAACACCCTCTTAATAGAATGAGTAATAATACAAGAAAGATCAATCATAATATCAATGGGAGCCTCAACTAATACCAAATCATTAAGTTAAGAACAAGATAAACTTTTAAGTAAATTTCCACATTTTAGGTTGGGAGATCTTAGCACCGATATACCACCGTGATTCTAGCACGGAGTCCGATCACGGCTCGATCGACTAGGCCGTATCACCCAAAGACATCAACCACAATCACAATCATTATCTCAATCTCAGTCATTGATTCAATCATAATCTCAAGCACAATCACCACAAAGTATGCGGCATGGCGTCCGATCACGACCCGACCGGCTAGGCCGTCTCACCACAATGCCATGTGGATCGATATCACCCTATTTCCAGCAATCATCCCATCCCACTAAAGGGGAATATTCTCATCATATCAATCTCATCCCAGATAATGGGAATAATCACAATTCACTCCTACACTGGCACGTGTAGTTTCGGGGTTAGGTTACTTCCACCTACCCTTTCTTGGTGATTAACGATACTACTACGTTGTTTATTATTTAAAGGACATTCAACGCATTTTATTATCTTTTATACGTCTCTCAATTTCATCGGCACTAGTGGCCCTAAATGTAATATCATTCTTGGCATGTTGGCCATATTTCATATTTTATGCTCACCTCTTTCACGTTCAAACATCATCATAGCTTTCATTTGAAACATGACGCGAAGTTATAACATTTAGATATGCAATCCTTACTTTGAACACATTCTCCAATAGCAACACAACATAACAAGAACATTTGAAACATGTATTGAACATATATCTTTTGTCACAAAGCTTATTCGGAATAATTAATTTATGATGAACAACTCGGACTTACAAGGACATTGTGGGGTTTAATTCTAAGAGAAGAGTTTAGCCAACATATCTCGTTTGAGCTTTCCTTAAGTTACAACAATGTTCCAGAAATCCTAAGAACTTCAATCTATTTAGAGACATAGCAAAATTGAACCATAACTAGGAAGATATTCATGGTTTCAGCTCATTTGAGCATTTTATCAAACACTAGGTGTGCATCTTGATTTCAAGGTTCTTATATGGTGGATTCTTTCATCCCACAACCCAATCTTTACCCATACTAGTTCAATGACCTTTCCACAACCCTTGATAGTACATACATACATAAATAACACTCTCACCCAAGAATCATACTCCCCTTTAACCATCTTTTACCCAAACTCGAAATTGAAGACTAGGGTTAGAACCTTGCCTCTTGGGTAAAGATCTTCTGATATTTCCTTGTTGGATTTCTAAGTTTAGACAATATCTTGATGAACAACACATTTGGTTTTCCTCCTCTCTCTCTAGAACACTCTCACTTCTCTCTAAAATGTCAGATTTTTGCCTTCAAAACGAGCCCCAAAGGCTAATTATCAAAATAGGGCCGGGTTATAAAATCAAAAAAGGACCCTCCAAACTCAGGTATGCGGCCACAGAACAGCTATGCGACCAGCAAAATGGACCACACAATTGATGTCCAAAATTGGACTGGTCTGGACTAGTCTGCGACAGATCTGCGGTCCTCACACTAGTTCTGCGACCACAGATTGGACCGTAGAATCCCCTCCAAAAATTTTCTTGTTCGTTCTGCGATGAGTTGTACGAACCAAAAAATGATTATGCGGCCGCATAATGGTCCTCAAACTTGGCTCAATTTTTGCTTCACTCTGCGGCGTTTATGCGGTCCGCGGAACAGTTCTGTGATTGCGAAATTGATCGCAGAATCGACTTCTTCAGCCAAAAAATTTCATCAATAATTTAGTGCATTCTTCAACCCAAAAGTTCCATGGGTTGAAGAATTCACTAAATTTACGGGGCCTTAATGTATTACCTCTGAACACTTTAGCCTAACTCGGCACCACAAAACCTTAAGTTTCTTGGCAAAAATTTACGGGGCCTTAAAGAGGCACAAAAGCGAGATTGGACCTGTCAGCTAGGACCGAAGATGCGGTCAGAGTCCCTCAAAAGCAGACTCGCAGGGGCGATGGTGGAAGCGCAGAAGCGGATTTGGCCAATGGGGAGCTTGCGCAGGTGCGATGGAAATTTCCGCACCTGCGGTTGCGCATATGCGGGGGAAGGATCACAGGAGCGGAGGCCTGGCTCCAGTGGTTCACCGCATAAGCGGGAGGATTGTCGCTTCTGCGACGCTGCAGATGCGGTTAAGCTCCCGCAGAAGCGAGAAGGCTGGACAAAACCTTAAATTCAAGGGTTCGCGATTTTTCTTCATTTTGAACATTTCAAGCTTGGGATTAGGCAATTTTGAGAGAGATTTTCGAGGGGTCTCTTGAGGTAATCTTGTGAACATTTTTATTCAATAATCTTGTTTCCCCATTGAATTTTCCACCTAGTTTGTGTGTATTTATGGTGAAATCTGGGAATGTGAGACTAGGGATTTAGAGAGTTTAATTTGGGAATTTGAGTGGTGATTTGGTGTCGGATTTTGGTAAATTTGGTATGGTTGGACTCATGGTTGAACAAGTGTCTGGATGTTATGACTTTTACCCGATTCCGAGACGTGGGTCCGGATCGACTTTTTGGGGCGATTTTCTAATTCTTTGTGAAAGTCATAATTTCATTATTTAGATTAGTTTCTTATGGTTATATTTATAGTATGTAATTGCTTTTGGCTAGATTTGGACCGTTCGGAGTCGAAAAGTCGAGGAAAAGACATTCTTATTGACTGATTGAGCTTGGTTTGAGGTAAGTGACTTGTCTAACCTTGTGGGGGGAAATCCCCGTAGGATTTGGTACTGTTGTAATAATTTGTGATATATGAGTGCCGTGTACGCAAGGTGACGAGTGCGTACACGGGCTAAATGTGGAAATTCTGGTCTTTGTTAAGTAGTTTCCTTTTCATGCCTTAATTAAGTTATTCTAGCACGTGCAGTCATCATGTTTAGCCAAATTTCACATGTCTACGTGTCTCGTCTCTAAAATTGCAATTTGTACAACATGCTTAGTTGAATTACCTGCTTCCTTGATTTCGTATTTGTTCTGTAACTGTACGATTTCCTTGCTTGTATTATCATTGTTTCATTTACTACGTGTTGACTTACGTGATTCTTGTTGAGATGATTGTTTGGTTGTGGCACGAGATTTCTTTCGTGCGAAGTGTTATTGGCACGAGGTTTCTTATATGCGGAGTGTTATT